GGGTATTAGCCTAACACCAGTTGTGACAAAATTACTGGCCTCAATTATCGTTCGTGGCCTCACTGCGGAACGGGAATCTCGGATTAGAGAACAGCAGGCCGGTTTTCGCCCAGGACGTGGTTGTATAGACCATATATTCACTTTACGGCAGGTGCTAGAGCAGCGCCACGCATACCGCAGACCGACAATAGCTGTGTTCCTCGATTTTAAGAGTGCGTTTGATTCAGTTGATCGATCGATTCTGTTCGAAATACTTGCGCAAAAAGGTGTTCCCACGAAATATGTGAACATCCTTCGTGCTCTATACTCGAACACTACAGGCCGCGTCAGGGTCTATGGTGCCCTATCGGATAGCTTTTCGACTACAAGTGGCGTTCGACAGGGTTGCCCGATTTCCCCATTTTTATTCAATTTCGCCGTGGATTCTATCATGGAGTGTTCCCTTGCGGAATCTCACGATGTAGGTGATGAAGTGCTGCCTGGTGAACGGTTAGTTGATCTAGATTATGCGGACGATATCGTCTTGCTTTTGTACGATTTTGCGGCGGCACAATCAACCCTGAATAGCCTATCCAGAGTGGTCCCATTATTTGGTATGCACTTCGCACCTTCAAAGTGCAAAGTGTTGCTGCAGGACCACCAGCCACTCGATGACCCCTTGACGCTTGCTAACGAGGAACTCGAGGTGGTTGATCATTTCACTTATCTTGGCAGCTGCATCAGCAATGATGGGCGCATAGAAACTGACGTCAGCTCACGCATGGCAAAGGCCAGAGCTGCCTACTTGAATCTGCGTCATCTTTGGCGACAGAAGGGAGTTTCCCTCCGCCTGAAAGGCCGTGTGTACAAGGCCACAGTGAGGGCCGTTCTGCTCTATGGTAGTGAAACTTGGCCCCTTCGGTCTGAAGATCTGAGGTGCCTTCAAGTCTTTGATCATCGTTGTTTGCGAAGCACTGCTGGTGTCGGATGGCACCAGCGTGTCCGCAACGATGATGTGCGTAGGCGAGTACTAGGTGGTGATGATCATACTAGCTCCCTAGAACAACAGATAGCACTGAATAAGTTGCGTTGGCTCGGGCACGTGCTACGCATGCCTGGTCACCGCTTACCTAGGAGGGCCTTGTTCAGTCTACCAGGTGTGGGATGGCGCAACGCTCGAGGTGGACAGAAGTTGACTTGGCAGCGGGAAATGAAGTCACCGACAACCAAACTGGGTGCCATTGGTTCGTTTTGCCTTCCGGGTTGGAGTTCACGTGACTCGCCTTGTGCTGGGCTCGAGACTTTACAGGACATGGCTCGCAACTGACACCAGTGGCGCGTCTGCTGCCGTCCTCTAATCGGATTGCCTGTTTAAAGTGTGTTTGGTGCTGAGTTATCTGCGGGGTAATGGCTGAATTTGACGCGTGGCAGTGAAAGCCACAAGGAAGCTGTCTCGCCGATGCCGCCTTATCTTTGCACGATAGTCAGCTGTTTGTGACGGAATGTTGTCTACACAAGGTGTAGGCGCCTCGACCCTGAATGTTTGCTTAGGGCATTAAGGTTTTCAAGTAAGTCCCCCTTCTCTCCCTCTTCTTATTCTTTATTTCATAAGTCCTCATGGTTGTATGGCAGCGAAGCATCAGTTCAAATGGCTGATGTACTGCTGTTGATGATGATGATGACAGACCCATATATTTTACAACTGATGAATCGAAGTACTGTAATCATTTAGCCAGCTACTTGGATTTTTACATCGATATTTACATGTGGATGTTTGTGAGTAGTGTCATGTTCGTAGAAAGTAGAAGTCATAATTGAACTTCCCACAATAATCTGACACTCGACGGGGAATCGAACTCCGATCCCACGAATTTCCGGTCCGCTGCTCTACCACTGAGTTACCGAAGTTTAATCTCGACTCCTACTTGCTACGAACATTACGCACAAACATCCACATGTAATCTACCATCGCCCTTTGGACATCAGAAGGACTGAAGTATCAGTCCATTGGGAAGTGACGAGTGAGTGAGTCAATCTGCAACACCAGGACAGATACTGTGAGCTCATTGGCAATACGTCGCGCACCAAGCAGAAGTCATGTATTAAATTGCGCACCTAATCGTCAGCCCTCGGTAGTTCGATATTTCTTGTCCTATGTAAAGCATTTTCATTGGCGCAGATGAGTAATCGTCTCAGTGTTTTAACAGACTGTGCAGACTCAAAGAAAAAGCTTTCAAGTGTAAAGCCGCCGCTTCAGTAAAGTCCTTACTTACTAAGATAGAAAAAGGAACCTTGCCGCACCAACCATATTAATATCTAAACTATACTTGAAAAGAATAATTGCCGAGAAATATGGAAACTGATGCAGAACCCGAGTGGAGCCGTCCGAAGTGTTACACACCGCTGTCGATGTGAAGGAATTAAACCGCAAGTTCTGGGGCCAGCTAAATGATCCAGCAATATACTTCTCATCTTTACAACTCTCCCCACAATAGTTCACAAGGAATTAACACGGATAGAGTCATACCAAGCGTCCGGTCCAGACTGATTGTTTCCTATAGTTCTCAAGAAATGTGCGTATATCTTAGCAGTGTCTTTTTCTGAACTGTACACCATGTGCTTACATCAACACAAGATAGCCGATTGCTGGCGAAGCGCCCGCAATACACCTGTACTAAAAAGTGGAACCTGTAAGTACCGCCCAATGTCAGTACATGTGTGGTTTTGAAGACATTTGAACGAATCCTCCTCGAAAGAATGCTTTTTCAAACCAACTCAAATGATCCTTTTCAGTTCGGCTATCGCTGTTCCAGGTCCACTTTGGATGCATTAGCCTGTCTTGTGCATTCCGTGCTATCATCAGTCTACAGTAAAAAATCTCACGCGGATCTGCTTCCTATATTACAGCAATGCCTACGGATGTGTAAACCGCGAGCTGTTGTTACACGATCTGTCAGGATCCGAAGCTCAACTTCCATTAGCACTTTTCTTACAGACTACTTTGCCAATCGTATGCCGTTTACTAAGATTGGAGGGAGAAGCTCTTCCTCATTTACCTCAAATTCAGGTCTTCTTTAAGGGACTATTTCGTCCCCATTTCTAAATTCCACCTACATTAACTTCATGACCCTTCCAATTAAACCCATCCTGCTGAAGTATGCTGATGACGTGATCCTTGGTGTACACAACCACACAACCGACATATCGGCGAAATTGCAATCCTTCTTGGATAACCTTGCCTCTTGGTCCAAAGCCCCCAGTCTTTCATTCAACGCATCAAGAGCGTAAAGATGTTATTTTCTCGCTGTCCAAGGAAAATTGTTATCAACAGCTCATGAAGCACATCCCGCAGCTATGCGTTGACATTGTCAGTCTAAACACTTGAACATTAGTGAAGCGGCTGCGAGTTACACTAAGCCGGGATCTCATGTGGTCCCCTCATGTGAATAAAACGTACACAAAAGTCAGGAGACTAATATTCTGCGTCTTCCGACTTAGCTCTTCATCCGTGCTTCGTTACTTAATTTTACGGTTTGTCACCGCTTGAGTAATACCGCACTGGACGTAGTGTTCACAAGTGATGTTTCCTGGACCCGGCAACGGGCAATTCAAAATGATCAACAGGTCGTTGAAGCATCTTGCTCGATGCAACGGAGTTTTCATGCTAGTGTTTATTGACATCTTTGTGTCAAATCGGGTTCGCTCCTGCGAAAAAGTGGCGTCCGAAATCCTCACTGATGTCTTTTCATTATGCATTGTCCCAATGTATCCCGACTTTCTCTACCAGGCAAACCTACAAAGCCAATTAAGTTCGCATACAGGCTTACGGTACGTCTGTTGTTCCCTATTTCTCAAGTTTGTTGAAGGATCAAGATGTAGTCAACTAAAATCAAATTGACAGAATGAATCGATAATATCGCCACTGCGAGCTTTACAACTTAATGGCGCACCATATACATTTGTTTAATTTTTAGTTAATTTTATTTGTGCCCTTGCCGTGTGTGTTTAGCTGAATATTCACTCTTCGTTGGTGGATAAAGCAGACTGTAGGCTGGACTTGACTTATTATAATGTCTAAATAGCCCTTGACTATCAGTTAGCACGCCGGCTTGTCAGAGCAGGTGGCAACCATGGGCGATTGAGAAGGTACTTTAGCTTCTATCCATTCATAGGGCAGATACAATTGTCACACCAAGACGCAACACGCACAACCGGACAACCAAACAAGTGTCACGTATGCCTCCACTTACGTGTCTAGGCTTCGACTCAGGCAACGTCGCAACCCTCCGCAATCGGACTCATAACAACTAAACAAGCACATACGATAAGTCACTATCTTTCAGGTATCATTATTATCTATAAACTATGCTCCTTTCTATTAGCGCCTACTCTTCTGATTTGGTATATAGTCTCGATTTAAGCGAATTAATACACCAGGTCTATCAATGCTTTTCTTCCTACTTAGCTGTTTATCAATTGGAGAGTTGGCAGGGAACTATTTCACATTAAGGCTGTTCAAATAGTCTTAATGTAGGCGAATAAGAGCAGTGATAAGATTTTACGCTGTCCACTGCAAATGAATTAAAACCGCACCACTAAGCATGCGAAATTCCACAAGTGGAAAGACAAAAATGAAAGGTTGGCACATATGATACTTGAGAAAACAGTCCCATATCGTTGAGCAACCACACAATATTGTTGGGGGAAGTAGCCACATTATTGTCCAGATAACGCCGTACTTTTCCTAAAGTGTTTCCTGACAAATTGCATTCCTTCCTCGGAGGCAACCAATTGCCAACTGTAAGCAGTATCTCGATACCTTTTTCTCAGAAGTGGGGGAGTAAGATGATCTCGGTGACCTTGAAACTAATTCAATTATAGGATTCGTAAAACTACTCCTAAAAACTATTACGTCCAGAGTAAATAGTACAAAAATTATGCTTCAGCGAAAACTGCAAAGGTCAACTTTAAGGCCCCGCGGGCGCGTGAAAACATGGAACGAAAACTTGAATTCTCCTCACCTCAAATTGGGCTAGCAGGCTGCCATCGCTCAAACCAACTTCAAGTTCCATCATTGACTGTACAAGTGGGGAGTTTTTCGTTTCCGCATGAGTAGAGCGTCCGGCTATGGTGCTGAGATGCTGAGCAGAGAGACTATGTCGATGAGTACGATTGGAGAGACGCCCTAAGCCAATTTGTCGACTATTAATTTGCGCTGTTCGCGGTGGTATCGCAGGAGCATCTCCGGAATCCGGACCAAGGGCTTCTCCGTTCAAATCATCCGTGACATAATCTTAGAGCAGAGTGCAAAAACATTTTGTAACCGAGACGGAAAAGCGTAGCCGCATTTGTGTCGTGAAAAGTGTAGTGGGCAGAGGAAACTCACCACTCTGTTTCACAAGTAATTCCAACAGCCCAGCGGGATCACTTTTTGAGGCGCGAATCAAGTTAATGACCTGTAAAGAATAGTTGAGACGGATAACTATAGATCTGCGTCGGGATATCTCAGGTGAGAAGGTCGGTGTACGTGCAGGATGATTAGAAATGAGACGATACCAGTTTCAACGCAGTTACTTTTTTCTCAATTACACTGATAGCCAGGTCGATTTAATCCCAACATACTTGGTCTCTTAGCCAGAGAAGTGGTTTCCATGAAGGCTAAACCGGTGCTCTACGTCACAGCTATTCCAGCAACAAGGAAGAAGTGTTCTGATGCGTTGCATTGACTTCGGTCACAGCCGCCAAACAAAAGCACCATGTCTGAATCACTGCCTCTAAAGCTACAGATTTTCTAGTTCGAATCATCGTTAGTGATACCCACGAAAGACTGGTTTCAATACCATGAGAACGTTTACTATCCATTAGTTATTTTATTTTGCATTTACATTCGGAGTGAAACAAGCTACAACCAACCTGCTTCAAATTCATATACGTCCCCCAAATGTTCACTTGTCAATCAAATACCGCCCCTATCTGTAGTGAGGGGTACAGTGGGGTGAGGTAAACTTCCGTTTCTAGTTGTCGTACTGTAATGTAATGCGAGTTAAATATGGCCCTCACATAATTCACAATGTTTGGTTTTGTGAGATAAATAAACTAACTATGTTATTCGCATTCAATATCTTCAACACCAACTTTTCCACACACACGACATGTGAAGTTCATCGTAACTGCGGAATAATGCTGCAAGGTATCGGCTCGAGGACCACCAAACCAAGCTGACAACCTTTGTACTTCCAGTAGTGGCTGCATACTCCGGTGCTGTCACTCAATATTGTTACCACACGCATAGCTAGGAATCGAAATGTCCCCGACACTGATAACATACGATCGAATCAGCCAGGTTTTGGTCTGCAGGTCGGTTATTAGAGTACATGTAACTTGAAATATTTTTCGAACCGATGGAAAGAAGTCAAAGTTTCGGAGAGATTTACGGACGATCAGTGGATTTATTTAAGTAGCAACGTTTCAATTTCGACACAAGAACTTCGTCAGTACTATCGAATTTCTACATAGCTGGTATGGCATTTTCACAGTGAGCTAGGAAGATAATCGTAACAACTAAGATATTTTGGTAAATCCATTTACTCATGAGTGACTGAGGCAAGAGTCAATGGACTCCTATAGATACAGGTGAAAAAGTTATCGCAAGTTATCCAGTGAGATTGCGACTATTCCAATGGCGTCCTTCAGTCCCATTTACAATTGCAGTTTTACTAACGAAGACCATGTGGAACTTTGGGCCCCCTGCAGTTACGTAGTCGAAGCTGACATGTTGATCGGTTTTGCCAGTTGGTTTATATTTGATTCCATGTAGCTGCTCTGCTTTTATTGTGATTGCAACTAATCAGACCAATCGAAAGGTTGAAATGTCGCAACCGGTGTCTTCCTTCTGCTTTGTGGAGACGACGACGGTGGTGTCGGCTTTGGCTTTCCAACCTGACCAGCGTATGGACACTTGTCAGACTAGTCGGATGATGATCGCTCGTCACGCGGTCAAGAACTCCGCCCCTCGATTCTATTCACACATCCGATCTTCTCGACAATTAACCTCTGGGCATCGACCGTAAACTACTCGGTATATCGGTCTGTTGGCCGGTGTCCAAAACATGCACAGTAACAACAGAACACCTTAACAATGCTCTGTATTCGATCCCACCCCTTGGCGGTTGCAAATTGTTATTTTCGTGCTCTACAACCGGTGTTCGTAGCTCTCTCCCTGTTCCATTAATGTGTACGTGGACATGGTGTTTACAGTTTATTTCGTACATGCAGTTATCCTATCTGTGGGAACGGGGTCTTTCAAGCATACCACGCTGGAATACCTGTGCTTTAATGATACTGAATTGCTATCACCCACGGACAACAAGCAGAAAGCTGTAGGTGACTGACTGCTTCAATTTGGTAACATATGTGAACAAGATTGGATAACTGCTCCCAATTGCCTTTGTGTTTGCCCATTGAATAATGCATGCTCGATGCTTCATTGCTAAAGAAACTTAACAACGCCAAATGAATGCCACCGTTCAAGAACCAAAGGTGAGTGGCGGTTTTCACAAGAACAGCACGAACCTCAGCGTGAGTGCACCTAGTCACCGTTCTGCCGTTGACAGAAAGTAACTGGTCACCTTCGGACAGACGAGGGATGCACAGATCCGCTGGCATGTTTTGCCCAACGCGACTGACGATGATGGGAGTACCCACGTCTGTTCCCCCACGTATGTTAAAACCGAACCTCCCGTGGCTGTCCGGACGGATACGCACGCGGACCAAACCCTCGTTGCATTCGATCCCACTGTCCAGCGGATCTCGATACCCACCAGCAGGTGCGCCTGGATGAAACGGGTCACGAACGAACTGGGAACCGGTGGAGTCAGATGGAGCATCGGTCTTTGAATTCCAGTTGGCAGCAGCTGATTGAGTTGAAATCTGTTGCAAAAAGAAAGAATGTACAAGTCCAACAGTAACTGTTAAAGTGAGAAAATGCCGTGAAAAGAAAGTATGCCGAGAAAATAAACCTACGCACGAAATCCCGTTGGAATTACTTGTAGCCTCCCAACAGTTTGAAAACGCTCTGCATGCTTTAGCCGAATCACTTAACGACATCCAAATAATGCGATTTCCCTTTAACCAAATTGTTGTGAGATCAGTCACTATTGCTATCCCAATGTTAGCAGTTTAATACGGGCGGAATGAAGTTCACGGCTTTTTCTGTGCCTCAATTTGTAAGAATAAAATGAACACCCACCTTCGATCTTCCGCAAAATTTGACCCAATATCTAACGAGATCAGGCTACTATCAGATGCGTAGCAAGAGAGAAATTCGAAGGTAGTAAATTGGCCACGAAAAACATTGCGATTACTTGAACATAGCACGAGCTGGGGAATTCGCCGGAATGGTTTGACAGTTGGAAAGAGATGGATGAGGCAAGCGATGTTTGCCACTGCATGCGCGAATCGACAAGAATGTCTGCGTCATGCGAGCGTGGAATGTAAGCGGGGTGTGCATTCGGCTACCAGCTTTGTTTGTTGTCCATTATTGCCACTGGGGATGAACGCGCTTCGACAATGCAATCAAAAACGACTGACGTGGTCAGTTAGTCCGATTGTTGCGCTACGATCGCCGTTTCTTTCCGGTGAAGCAGTTATTCCTCACGATTTGATCTGTTGGTGTCAAAGAGGACCCGAGGGAAGCAAACCTGTTCACCTCGTGTACGTTAGCGGCCAGTTGAATTGTGGGACTGGAGTAGTTCTGACTTGTATAAAATCTACTAATCAGCAACCGCTAGAGTTGTCTTATAATTCCATAAGACAATTTGTGGCCTAGCAAAGGAAGTGGCAGCGTTGAGGGTCAGTTTTGTCATTTGGACGTTCATAACAAATATGAAAACGGAGGATACGTCTCATTACTTCGCGGTTAATAAGCAGTTACTGTAATCCGCCTCCGTCACTCCTGCCTCAGTAGCTTAAGTCCCTAACTTGTAAAATTGATTTGTGGGTTCGAATCCAACAAGTCCTTTTGAATGTGAGCAGCTCTCGAATCCTAGTAGCACCATATAGCCCTCGGCAGTGACCTTAATTCTGCTTCGCTCCTTGGACCTAGGTTGATCATTGCGCAAAACACACTATAACAAAATCCTCTCCACCATCATAAGGGGAAAATTAGCCATTTGTATCAGAACCGTTCCCTGCATGAACACTATCTCAAATGAGGTGAAAAGAGTGAGACAATATGCCAAACTTGGGGGCTCTGTGAATGCATCTTGCCCAACAACATCCTCAACTGGACAAAGATAGATAATTCGAGCCAAAGGCAGCAATTTACATTTCGAGAGGTTGTATGGAAAAATGCGTAGAAAACTGATCATCCATGAAATTCCTGACTACTAGTGTCCTCAGTTGAAAATGAAAAAAGGCTAATTTTAACCTCATTATAGTCCATAAGTTGCATTTTTTTCAATTCCCCGCCTAATGTTTTGCAAATGTGGGGCTATGTAAACCAGATAACTCTTGAACAGGGGAAATATGTTTCTCGTAGCGATAAATTCCTATCAATATCATGGTTGAAAATACAATTTTATGCGGAGTTTCAATGGATGCCCCATGGGTACATGAAACGTGTACTTGGGATTATTTTCGCCACCAGGAAACTAACTTCGGGCAGAATGTCAATTTACCTGAATGGTCTTTTTGTAATTAATAGGATTATCTGTTTTATGAACTATCCCATAATAATATCAATGTCATTTTCAACATATCTGGGGTCGTATGCAGTCGCATTGATCATAGTCGTTGAAGTACACACTCATTATTATTATATATATTTCTGAGTGTGTGCATTAACATTGTTATAAAAAATACGATGAGAGGAGTGAGTTGATTAAGTGAACGACACATTCTATCGTTTTAACAGCCGTCAGTAGAAAGTAGGTGTCTAAGTTGTAGGTGAATTAGCTTGGGCATTTAAAGCTACTTTGCACACGTGGAGTATACGGTGCCACCAAGCACACACTGGAAGCTTGCCCATGGTATTTTACATACACTTCTTAGTTCAAGACTGCATCGTGGTGTATAGGGAATACAAAACTGTAGACAGAGTATTACACAACAAATAGTGCGCTCAGTTGTTTTACGGGGTCAGCAATTATCATTTCAGATGTGACGCACGAATAGGCTATAAAATTTATAGGTGGAACAAAACGCTATACTTAGGGATAGAAAACGAACGGATACGAATCCCTACGATTTGCGATGGAAGCCTTAGCTTTAACAGAATCTCAACGCACCGCCTCATCATCATCATTATCATTATCATCCTCATCATTATCATCATCATAACCATCATCATGATCATCAATACTTGTTAGATGAGGGCGAGAAAGGCACTTCAGCTAATGTGTCGTAAGAAAAAGGCTAAGATATAAAACAAATTCAAAACCAGGTACTATAATGCTCTGAAGATACTTGGAACCAATCGAGTAGTCATGAGTTCAGAGAGGTTTGGAAACAATCGGTTGGTATAGTAGTTTGGTGAAGATGTCACTCTGAGTGATCGGACGAAACTAACGGTTAACCAGATAATCGAGGATATGATATTGTGTCTTAACATGTCTTACTCCGTTGGTAGTCAAAGCTCTACAGTCAGGAACAAGGTCTCGCCATGGGTTCGCCAGTATCACCTGTACTGGGGAACAAGTATATAGAAGACTTCGAGAACAGGGCGTTAACAAACACCATTAACTCACAAAAAATTTGGTGGCGTTATGTAGACGTCACCTTTGTACTTGTTAAACGGGATAAGAAGGACGAGTTGCTTGATCACTTATACTCCATTGATGAAAGAATACAGTTTAATATTAAGTTGGAATCTTGTAGCGGTGCAATACCATTTCTTCACTGCCTGGTTCACATGAATGGGGGAAATTTAAAGATGACAATATATCGCAAGCCAACGGATACTGACGGCGTACTCCACTACACTTCGGGTCATCCGAAATAGGTTTACGCTAGGATAGCCTCAGTGCTGTTCTACAGGGCACAAACCTTGTGTACGATGGAGGAGGACAAAAGGCTGCGCGGAAAGTGGCAATGAGCAAACCATTAGAAAGTGGTTACCCACGGCGGCTTGTCAAACGCCAATTGCATAAAGTGCTGCACCGGCGGTCAAGACTCCAGCCGAGTGGATAGGGACGGTCGGAATTCCGTGTAAGGAAGGCGCTTCGGTGACAATTCGGGGAGTACTAAACAAGTAAAATATAAGGGTGATCTTCCAGCGAGGGCAAACGTTACGTTCGGCGCTGGTACGCCTGAAGGACCCGCTTCTTAAGGATAGGGCGACTAGCTGTGTTTATAAAATTAAATGTAAGGATTGTACACATGTGTACATAGGCCAAACAGCGAGAGAATTACGCACACGAATTTCAGAGCCCAGGAGGCGCATTTCAAGACCACCAAGAAACGAGTTTGTATACCAGACAGTAAGAAGGGACTCGGCCGTGATTGTGCATGCATTAGACACAGATCACCAGATAGAGTTGGAAAACGTAGATGTCATTAGGAGGAGTATAACATCAACAATTCAGCGGCTGATTGCCGAGGCGGTGGAAATTGCCAAATCTGACGACTGCGTGAAGAGAATGGAGGGGGTAGAACTCCCTAATGCGTGGCGGGTGGTTTTAAGCCGGCCAGCTTGAGGAGCTTTGGTGCGTGGATCAGATTGGAAAGTGAAAACCGACTCCCATTGTCAACACTATGGGTTTATCCGTCAATGTCATGACACACAAAGGAACACCTGGACTATTCCCACTGTGATCGAACCACCTGAGGTGACATCCCCAACTGTTACTGTAATGATTCATGGCTCAAGACTCGGGTAACAAGGTTATCGCCCCTGTTCGCTATAAAATCCCACACCAATTGCACACTGATTCACCTGGTCTGATGAAGCCTTTGTGTCAAAGGCGAAACGTTACCAAACTACTATACCAACCGATGGTTTCCAAACCTCTCTGAACTCAGGTACTATAATGTTAAATATTATATCAGACATTTCGTGTGAGACCAGAATTGGAGGGGAAACTAAAAGGGAGGGGATGGACAAAGAAGCTCACAGCACAAACGCCACTGGGGCCGGCTCTTCGTCTTATCAGTAAGTGTGTCCAACCAAACGTGTTAATGGTCCTTAGGACCGCAGCCAGGCAGTCGGAATGCACCAACCGACGCCAGCTTCTAAGTGAGGGTTTTCATTTCTCTCGACCAAGTCATGGCTTGGCCTCTCCTCTTCTTCCAACCTCACTCACGGTGCGCAGGCAATGCACGTCGCGGGATTCGGTGTGCCGGCATGCGCAACACGTGGTCAACTCATCGGAGCCTGGTGCGTGATATTATGACGCTAAGCGGTTCACTAGCACTTTCTGCACGAAATACGCGACGCCGAACATGCTCATTGCTCACGCGGTGCTCTCACCAGACATAAGCTAAGCTGCGAAGGCAGCGATGGTCGAAAGTGACCAGCCTCTTTATGTCGGTCGACCTTACGGACCACGTTTCACAACAGTATAAGAGGGTTGAACGGACGGCTACATTACAAACTTTGCTCTTCAGGGAGAGAGTGATGTCGCGCCTGCGGCACAGGTGGCGGAGATTGGAAAAAGCACCTCGAGCTGTTGCTATACGTTTTGTGACCTCATACTCGCCCAGGTACTTGAATTCCTGAACAACGTCTAGCTAATCAGCACCAAGGTTCAGCACAGGAATGGGTTCCTGCAAATCTTGAAGAAGTACTTTGGATGTCAATGGAGAAAAGCATGGCGCAAAACGATAGACAATCAGTGCTAATCGGTCCAGTGCTGTTTGGCACGTTTGGGAGCTGTCACAGATGAGGGCAATATCGTCCGTACACAGCAAGTCAAGAAATCGCTCACCGCCGA